GTAAGCAATCAATCAGCTCCACCCAAGGACACTCGTACCGCCGAAGGAGTAGGGGATTGGGCCTCCGGTACCCCTCACGGCAAAACATAACTTGTGTGTTGTTTCACGCCGGTATTCTGTGAAGCAGTGGTATAACTTCGGCCAAGCCGGCCTACAAGTGCCGAAACACAGCAAACTTCCACTTTCACACTTTTAATTATAGAGGTCGGTAATTACTATTTTTGTAGACCGGAGTAAGGCTACGCTGTGAAAATTTTAATTCTATTTATCGATATAATTTTCGGTAAAATTCCGTTACGTTTACGCAAATTTTAGGACTATTTCGTCTTACTAGCGACATCTTGTGAGCACAAAATTGTAAAGTGTAATAATTCCGAGGGTTTTGGCATACTACCAAAACTATAGGTCACATAACTGTCGAAAAGTGGATAAACAGCATTCTGTTTACTCCAGGAAATAACGAGCAGTGCTATTCTGAAAGTATATTTTGTAAAGTGACTTCTAAATCCGAGCTGAGATGATAAAATATGTGAATCGCACACTGGCGCCATAAAGTGATAACGGAAGTGAGAAGAACTACGCCAGGTGAGTATTTTGGCTTAGTGTTTTTTTTTTAAAGTGATGAGTTCAGTTTAAATATGAATTTGTTATTTTTAGAATAGCACTGCAGGTGATACACATTATAAAATCAAAAACCAACTCGTGTGCCTCATATAACTCGTTCATTTTATGCGGCCATAACAGCGAGGTCTCACGTTGACAATCACGCGTATGTACAAAGTATTGCCAAAGATTGCCTGCTTTTATTGCCATTATGTGGTTTCAATACAAACGTGATCTCTTGTAAAGTGGGTGAAGAATGTAGAAGTAACATGTTAATTTAGCTAAGTAATATATCTCAACCAGCATGATTTGACATAACTTATGAAATGTTATGTTCTGTAGAAGACAGCCGGTCCAAGTTTCGTCACAAATGGGTCACAGAAAACCGCTGTGATCCAACCACAGACTCATCCAAACTCGCCGTGTGTGTGAGATATCAGAGGTGCAATCCTCCGCTCCCTCTTCAATCCCTAAATCTCCGGAATCTTAATCACAAAAGGTTCTGGTGTTACGGGTGTCTGAGTAGCGTCAATTGCTTACCATCAGTTAAGGTAGATGGATGACCTCGTTTGCCTACTTATGAAATAAAACGAGAAGCTAAGCGTAATAGTTAGTAGTGTGTGTGTGCATATGTCACGTAAGAAAATTTGAAATAGAACATTTTCGAATTTTTATTTAGTAAGGGTAAATCTGTTTATTTACCAAGACTGGGGCTAGGACCTGAGGCTTACAAGACTTGAGAGTAAACAAGAACTTGCCTCGGTCTTAAAACAAGTACTTTAATTTGTTAAAAGATATGTATAAATGTCAAGGAATAATAATAATAATTGCAAGGCACGTATGCACGTCATAACTGGTGTTGTGTATAGAAACTGTGTGTAGAAAATATTTGTGATGCACCTCATCACTCTAGGGGAAAACACTTTCCTACTTGACCGCAGAATCCTTCTGGGGTAGTGGTACAAGTTACAAGCGGAATTTATTATTATTTTATTTCTTACGTGTGTCAGTATTTTGCTAGTCATTTTTACGTGTGTAGTTTCGTAACATAAAAAAGTCTTCAACGTTAACATAATTAGTAGCCAGAGGACACAGCCTTGTAAATGAAAGTCTTCATCTTGGTTTTAATTAGCGCCATGCTAAAGAACGATTAAACAATACTTTCATTATCATCTCTAAGTCTGACGATGTATTTATAGGTGGTACGCCTATCTAACAAATGTCCATAGCAAATTTGTAAGTTACGTAACAATTGCACCATTGGATACATTGAATTTTAATATAATCAAATCACGTTAAGATAATCAATAAGATAAATACTGTACAAAACGAGAGAAAAATAATTCAATTCGAAACTCACGTAAGTATTCTTTAATCAAAATTACTGACTGGAACTGGTTGCAGTGCAACGTGTCGTGTGTTTCCCGAGTTTACATGTCATATGGACCTCAACAAAATCCGCTGCGTATTTTTAAAGATTTTTTTAAACATACATAAGGATATAGAGAAAGTGAAAGCGACTTTGTTTCATCTTCATACTATGTAGTGTTTGAAATTTACAGTACGTAATTCAGAAGTCGTTTACAAAGTCAATGTTACTTTGTCAATAAACCGATATCAAAAGGAGACTTATGAATTAAAAAACAATAATTTAATGTAACGATTAAAACGAATCTCCGTTCACCTCTGGCTTGGGCCACATCTATATTTGCGTAATTCACACGGAAGCTAGACACGTGTGACTGACATAATGATTTGCGCATTACATAGCCAAACACTGCATTGATATGAGTCATTGTAATCGATCTCTGGATGCCATCTTGTATCTTATCTAACATAGAACCCGCCTGCTGTATCGCCCGCTAAGAATTAAAAAGGTTTCTTTTACAGAAGCCTTTTAAAATTTAAATGAAAGTAACTGAAAGAAAGTTTCCTCCTCCTCCTCCAAATTAAGTGTCACTAAAATAGTTTAGTAAAATCGCCACATTTAATACTTTCCGATTTGTTTAATAGTTTTACGGCACAAAAAAACCAATCGGGTTACAAAAGTGTGGATCGGTCAATAATGGATTTAGGTACATTGTATGTAGTTCCTTTTTCAAAATAAACAGATTTTACTTAACGGTACAAAGAATCGATAACAGATGGAGCTACTGTAGTGTTTGTTGCTTGCTAAAACAAGAACTTACGATGGTTTATCTGAATGTGCAGGTAAAACGTGTGGTTTAAGTCAGATCGAGTTCGACACTCCCCCTTTGAATTGAAGTCAAGGGGGTTTTCACACTATAAAAAAGTAGCCTTAGAATATTGGGACCACGTGGGACGACCTCTCAAATTGGGTTGTATTAGGTGATATTGCCATACTTTGCTACCATTATAACAATATACAGACAAATAAAAATTAAAATGACTTAAATGAATACTAAACAGATGGCCTAAGATTATTAAATCAATGGCACGAAAATTCACAAGAATTTTATCTTCTAAACATTCTTTTGTCATTCCATTTAGGATTGAATAGGAAAAAGCGTATATGTATATTGAAAGGCTTTAAGCAATAATTATGATTTGATCTTGACCAAGACCCTATTTTGTTCAAGGCCTTACGCGTACTGGTTCTATGTGCGATGCATCCATCGCAGCCATAAAGAGTACCTATTCACAACTCATTACCGTTATGTGAAAAACCCCGTTAGGTATATGTTGATAAGTCCTGAGATTGCTCAAAAAAAAAAATACTTTTTATGTACTGTCAGTCTTATCATCAGCTCCAACTACAAGCCAACAATTGTTATTTTTTTTATAATTTGTGAATAAATTATTTTTTGTTTATTATAGTCAATAATGTATCTATACATATATCTTTTATATCAAAAAACAACTGACAGTTACCGATACAAATAAATAGTTAAATTTCTGCTTATTTATGATGATAGGTTGAGCCTGCAAACTGATAAATATTTATGTTTACTAATTTTGGTCAACAAAGATTGAATGTTTTGATCATCAATTCTGTATACTTATAATGAAGTATTTTTGACTGTGTGATAAAGGCTACTAAATTATGAGACTAATTATTATAGCGAACAGGCAGCAGTGTTCTCAAAAATGTTATAAAATACAATTTCTTTATTTTTCCTTTCACCTTATTCTTGTTATGTATTTCATGATTCAAAGTCAAAGTCAAAATCATTTATTCCAATTAAACCATCAATAGGTACTTTTGAAACGTCAAAATAGAAAAGTAGTCTGTCAGTCTGTTCGTCAGTGAAGCTAGGTGCTCATTCCAAATTGTAGATTCGAATGGAGAAGAACGAGCAAGAAACTCCATTCGTTACTCTTTTTTTTAAAAAAAATTGTTTTACAATTTCAATAATATAACATTTATAGTATACATTAGTGTACCCTTATGTGAGAACAATGCAGAGACAAGTTGTTAAAAAAAAGAACAAATGAGGGGACCTATCATAAAATTTTACTCCTTTGTCGTCTCGAACATGGCGCTCACATATGCGTACTCACAATCTTTAAGAGTGCTTCTATATAAACTTTTTGGATATATAAATTAAGGATGCATTATTTTTGAGAATTTTACCTAACTGCTGACTATATTTGAGTATTGTCCAGTGGAGCCGAACCAACATGCTGCCAGGCATTCTTATCCTCAATATAATCTGAAAGTTTGTAGTATGCCTGTCTACACAATTCACGTTTAATATAAGTTTTAAATTTTCGTTCGTTAAGATTCAATACAGTACTTGGAATTTTATTGTAACAATTTACACAGAACCCCATAAAGGATTTCTGTACCTTGGACAGACGGAATCGTGGCACAGCCAGCCTATCTTTGCCTCTTGTATTAAAATTATGTCTATCGTTTCTTTTTTCAAATAATTGCAAATTTTTCCTTACATACATAATATTTTCATATATAAACTGACAAGGCACCGTCAGGATATTTATCGTTTTAAATAGTTCTCTCAGAGATTCGCGACGGATTATTATTCTATTCTCCTAAAGAAAAACTTATGAAGCTAATTCGAACACAGGCTACCACAACATACCAAAATAAATAAGTAGGTACGTCATATCAATCCCAAAGAAATATTGATGATTACGGAAGGAGTTTTAAAGATAATAATGATTGAGACAAGTAATTTAGGTAAACGTGGATATTATTTTAATTTTTTTATTTGTATAAAAGCGAAAACAAGTTTGTGGTGATGATTACAAGACTATAATAAAAACTAATTATAGTTTATAATAATAGATAGATCACATCATAAGACAGTCTATTAATAGTTTAATGATTTCCTTGTTTAATACTTGGTATGTGACTTGTAAATGTGTTTAATCTGAAGGGTACAATTATTTCTTTTAATTATGATTAAATTCACTTCAGTTAATGCGTTCACAAGTACACATTTCATATACTCATCGAACAATGCCCCGGAAAAACAATGCTATAATTTATTGGAGTATTTTTGAACGTGTCTCAAATGGTAACTACGACCCTTTACACAAACACTGCACTGACAATGAAATTAATTAAAATTCAGGAAGCATTGGATTGCAATAATTCATTTTTTTATACCTACGTGTTATATTATGGCTATCTAGTGGTTAAAATGGTTGAAAAGCTATTCATTTTGCAACCTACTTATACTTAATCGTTTAAACTGAACACGAACACTTATAAAGACTAGACATCATTGACTTCCCAGTCTTCATTCTTGTCTATTTTCACAGCTTTCTTTGACTCTTCCCACAAGCGTCTCGTCAACTCTCGATCATTCACCAACCAATGATTCTTGAACGGATAACAGAATTTGTACAAATTTCCACTTACACTCTCCATCTCTGGCGCAGACGCTAAATAAGCTATTTCACGACCAACATCCTCCTTTCTCCGTCCAATAATGTTAATAAAAAATTTGGAAACATGCTGGACAATCCCTGGAATATTAGCCAATATGCTTGTGTCTCTTACCACGAACGGATCATAACCATTTACAGTCACTCCAGTATTCTTCAATCTTGTGTCAAGTTCCGCATTAAATAAATCAACCGCTAACTTCGAAGTCCCCAATGCTGTTATTATATTATACCGTCCAATGTCATTCCAATGATCAAAATTTATTTCTCCAAAATACATTGCGCCTCCAATACCGTTTACAATTCGACTCGGAGCTGATGCTTTTAACTTAGGCAGCAATAGAAACGTAAGTAGGAAAGCACCAAAATAATTCACTTGCATTGTAAGATTTAAGTCATCGGCTGTCAGTTTGTCTGGAAGTGCCACAGCACCTGCATTGTTTATTAAGACATTTATCTGATCTTCAGAATTCAATTCACTTGCTAAGTTCCTCACTGATTTCAATGATCCCAAGTCTACAGTTTTGTATGCAACATTTTGGTTACCGGTTGCCTCTATGATTTGGTCTTGAGCTGCTTTGAGTTTGGTTTCATTTCTGCTCGCGATGATGACTCTGGCTCCACGACTTGCTAGATTCTTAGCAGCTTCGAAGCCCATCCCTGAACTTCCACCAGTCACCACAACCACTTTGCCATTTAATTTAGCCGTAGTATCACACGTCATGATCAGAACATTACGACCTGAAGTTGATAAACAAACTAAAGCGCAAGAGGAAAAACACAGTAACTTACATGCGTCAGACTACATTTTAATATTATTTTTAATTCAAGGTGGAGGGTCCAGAATACCAATGAGATCTCGATTAATTTCCGCATTTGTTACGATGATAAAAACAATGTTGAACTTTAATCTTATATGCGTAAAAACGAATGATTCAGACTCTAGGTTTTTGCAGTAACATCATAAATATAACAATATTTACCACAGTCATATTGCAACTTAATAAAATTTAAGTTTTAATAGATATAAATCCACTTTCTTCTTTTTTTAGTTAACCTGTTTTACAATTTTGCGTGATATTGTCACTCGATGTGAGTTTACGTGGTTAACCAAATTCTTGATCATACAAAGTAGCGTAATAAAAGCATTTCTTGTTTTTTAACTGGACTGAATTTATTGGTGCAACTTTTACAAAGTTAAATATCACAGTTCTCTTAATTACAATTTTGAACCTTTTTACCTATAATTTTTCTGTTCTTTATTTTTAAAAGTAGGAATGATGTTATCCACTTTATTACCATGAAGTCTTAAAATACAAAGGCATTAAAACTGATGTCCGTGATGTGCGGTATAAGGCAAAATTATGCTTAAAATGTACATTAGTGAATTACCCATTAAAAAATAAAATAATTGTTTTAAATAATAATTAAAGAAAACAAAACAACCAAGAATTGTCTACACTCATTTCATATGCAGTATGATTATACCTAATGACTAATGAAATTCGATATTATTCAACTGATGACATTAAAATCTTAACTGATGCTCGCAGTTTTGGTATAAAAAATAAAAAAAAAGCATAACAAGATGAAACCAGTGGACAACTGGATAATAACTATTACTTATTGATTTAACAATTACATAGTACAGTTTGCTAAACGATCACTCATGGCTATCACAAGTTCAAAGACATAATTACAAATTCAGGATAACACTAACAAATCAGTACCGGTAGTCAAAGAACGGCGAAAGGACGAGTAGATTTCATTTCCTTAGAAGATATAGCTTGCGACGCTACATCAAATGCCTTTGCAAAATCTAACATTGCAACTTTGTATTTTGAGCTCTGATCAGCGTCTAGAATTTCGATCATTCCCCAATAAGCTGCGAAACTGCTGAATATATCTGACTCTTTCATCGCTGAAAAGCTTATTTTTGCCCAGGCGGGCTACCAGATTTTTATCCCTATAGTATTCATACGGAATTGCTGCCTTTTCATGTTATAAGACGTCAAACGAGCAGACAGATTACCTGGTTAGCCATCAGCGCCACCTATAAGACACCAACGGAGGAGTTACGTTTTCTTTTGAGGATTAGGGTTTTGGAGATTTAGGGATTGGGAAATAAATGGATGAGGGGAAGGATTGGGGATCCGGTAACCTCACTTACACGGCAAAACACAACGCTGTGGTTGTTCCACGCCGGTTTTCTGCGAAGCCGTAGCTCTCCCACACTTAAAATCTATTCGTACTTATTCGATATCATATTTTTATTTCTAACTCTTCAAAAATAAATTTTTTAAAACTTCAAACGGCAAACGGTTTGACAGAACTCTGATGGAAAGCAACCTGCATCGCACTTTTGAGGGTTGATAGGGATTTGACGATTACGGAATTTGGGATGGAGGAAAGGGCTTGCAGTAACCAACCCCAGTCACATGGCGAATCACAATTTCATTTTTAATAGTGTAGTGTAGTAACATCCCAAATTCTATAAAAAGTGCTCAATTGGTTTATGAAGCTGATCTAACAAGGAAGGTTATATTTTTTAAAACTTTGTCGTTGCTTTTCTGTGTCGTGGGTGCGTTTACAAACATACTATTTCACATACCCATCACACACTTACCAGGATCAACAATTTGTGGATAACACAAAGAGTTGTTCCGTACCTATGGGAATCGAACCCACTACACCTTACACGACAGCCTGTAGCCCAGCCACCGCGTCTGCTGTGTTGTTAATGTCTATAGATTGTTAAAGAACTTATATATTTTTAATAAGGACACTGAACAAAGTAAATTATTATTATTATTATTATTTATTATGGCTTAAAAGGTACATTTTACATTATAAAAAGTATAAAATGTCCAACAAAACTGTATACACAGTTTGTCTGTTGGATCGGATTTCAATAACTAAAAATTACAGATTTATTTTTAATAACCTTTTTACAAAAATACTAGGCTAGGCTAGGTTTCTAGGCTATAAAAGTAACATATCCCGGGATTTAAAAAATAGCAGCGTTTAAAGCGGTGCTCGTTTAAAATAAATATTATCATGACATTTAAGTATTTATTATATTTCGAGTATGTATCTGCCCAGGAAACCAGTTCCTCTGGTCTTAGTGATAGAATTCCAAAGTTAAAATACTTACGAGTATTCATATTAGAAGACTATACCTACATTTTTACCAACTATAAAATATTCGCAAATCTAATCATTTCCGAGATCGTTTAGAAAAATACCATCACCACTTATACTATAATAGTAGAGTTTAACTTTGTAAATTGAAGATAATCACTTGAACACTTAGACATTATCACTGACTTCCCAGTCTTCATTCTCTTGTATCTTCACAGCCTTCTTCGACTCTTCCCACAAACGTTTCGTCAACTCTTTATCATTGACCAACCAATGATTTTTGTGCTCACGACAGAATTTGTACAAATTTCCACTGGCACTTTCCAACTCCGGCGCAGCCGCTAAATATGCTATTTCACGACCAGCTTCTTCCTTGCTCTGTCCAATTCTGTTTATAAAGAATCTTGAAATCGTCTTAACAATCCTCGGAAGATTATCCAGAATACCAGTGTCTCGTACCACATATGGATCATAAGCATTAGCGGTTACTCCATTATGCTTCAACCTTATATCCAGCTCCGTATTAAACAAATTAATTGCCAATTCAGAAGATCCTAACGCTGTTAGTGTGTTATATCGTCCAATGTCATTCCAGTGATCAAAATTTATTTCACCAAAATACATTGCTCCTCCAATACCATTTATAATTCTACTCGGAGCTGATGCTTTTAACTTAGGCACCAACAGAAAGGTAAGCAAGAAAGTTCCAAAGTAATTTACTTGCATATTAAGATTCAAGTTATCAGAGGTCAATATGTCTGGAAGTCCTGCTGCTCCTGCGTTGTTAATCAACACATTTATTTGAGCTTCATTATTCAATTCATTTGCTAAGTTCCTCACTGATGTAAGAGAACCTAAGTCTACAGTTTTGTATGCAACATTTTGGTTACCGGTTGCCTCTATGATTTGATCTTGAGCTGCTTTGAGTTTGGTTTCGTTTCTGCTGACTATAATGACTCTTGCACCTCGGCTTGCTAGATTCTTAGCAGCTTCAAAGCCCATCCCTGAACTTCCACCAGTCACCACAACCACTTTGCCATTTATTTTGGCCGTAGTATCGCACGCCATGATCAGAACTTTATACACTGAAGTTGTTAAACGAACTAAAATAAATATAATAACAACATACAGGCCCTACTTGTCAGCTACATTTTAATGTTATTTTTAACTATAGGATCTCGATTGATTGTCACTAATGACACTGTGACTAGAATATCGTCGAGTTTTTAACTGAGTTATTCGGAATCAATGTAGTTGACATCATTTATTATTATGCTTCTATACAAATTTATTATCGTTATTAAATATCATCATCGAAGCCGTTCCACTTTAGGACTAGCAATAATCTCCCCTATAAACGGCAGGTCAAAGAGCGCGATTAAAAGCTTCGGTTTTATCTGAAAATACTGCTGCCCAGGCTCGCTTGTAGTCTTAATGGGCCTTTTAAGACCACCACCATATAAAAGAGGGAGCGACACATGTTATTTTACATAACATTAATATTTACAATCATATATCGTATCATTTGATTGCTCTGTGTTATCACATTTTTACACTAAATTGTCAATCGATATGAGTTTCCGTAGTACCTAATTCAAAAACCAGTTTATTACAATTTATTAAACTTGTTTAAAAACGGCCAAGGGTAGTGCATTAATTCGTTTTTTGTGCGAAAATCATCAAATAACTTCTCTCAACTCTGGGTTGGACGGTGAAGAGTCAGGCTTTTACAGATTTAATATTTCATTAGAATTTCAGTGCGATATCTTTACCATTAGAAATATTTTATTTAATCTTTTATCTTATCTTCAAGCATCAAGGAAAATGTCTACCTTGCAGGTTTGTTTTCCCTTTTTTTATAGAACGATTTTTTTTCTAACGAGCAGGCGGATCACCTGATGTATATGTAGGTATCGGCGCCGTCCAGTTTCAAAAATTTGCGATTTAATATATGCATCATTTAATTGTATTCGTTTAAAAATTTTATGTTCTACAGCTCCGAGGACAGTAGGTTTTTTAAAGTATTCTTATGAAAAAGGATTTTGGCAGACATGCGAAAACGGTCAAACATATTGTAGCGACATCTAGCGCACTACATTAACAACAGCACCAATCACGTGCAAGAGTCTACATCGCGCTATAAGAGTTTTCCACACAATTAGCACCTATACAGATATCCCGACAACAACCGTCGGGCAGTAGCCCGCCAGGCACGAACACCTCGCCTGGTCGGAGGATCCTCCCTTTTCAATGGAGGATGAGGAACTTTCCACCCTGTTTCTCATACCTCTAAACTGGTGACCCCGAGCATGAACATCAAGCAGCCTTCGTTCAACTACTTCATAGCCATGACATCATCACTTCCTCGAGCTTTCAAGCAGCGAGTCTACTGTCAGCCAGCTTCCACGGCTACAACGGGTTCCCTGACCACCAGCATGCAGCCGACGCGCATTCCTGGTCAGCACCTACAGCCTCATCAGCAACTTCGGCACAGCATACTGCACCGGCCGGTCAGCAAGCAGAGACGTACTCCCTCTCCTGGTCGACGCAGCAGCCAGCCACTCTTCAGCACTGCATCACCCCGACTCACTGGGGCATCCCCGCAGACAGTTTCGACTCACCGTGAACTATGCGGCATCAGTTCCGACGCACTGGAACCATCAACTGGCTCGACAAGACAAGACATTCAGACGACTCAACCAACCTGCTAACGACCTCCGGTCTCGGGGTCACCAGTTTAGAGGTATGAGGAACAGGGTGGAAAGTTCCTCATCCTCCATTGAAAAGGGAGGATCCTCCGACCAGGCGAGGTGTTCGTGCCTGGCGGGCTACTGCCCGACGGTTGTTGTCGGGATATCTGTATAGGTGCTAATTGTGTGGAAAACTCTTATAGCGCGATGTAGACTCTTGCACGTGATTGGTGCTGTTGTTAATGTAGTGCGCTAGATGTCGCTACAATATAATCAGGTTTTATCTACAAAGTACCCTAAAAAGGTTGTATTAATTGATACCCTGATTGTAACTTTGCAACTAATTTAAATATTAAAGGTGATACGTAAAAAACAAGAATAATGAAACTTTTTATAAATAAAAGGCACAAAAGTTAACAAGACACAATACCTGTTATGTTGACCGGTTTGGAGTATTATAAGGATCAATACAATGTCGGCAGGCAACCCAACAATCCAACTGGGATTGAAGTAATTAATGAAAGTGCAATAATGTACTGACACATGTCTGTAGCAGGAGAAGGAACGGGGTGGTTTTAAGTCAGTAAGACACTCTGTCTCTCCTGACCCTGGGCGGAGGAAGTCATTTGATGATATTCCCTCCTCCTCTAAGAAAGGTAACACAACAAATAAAGAAAAACAATATGAATTTCTGCAAAATACACACGAACTATAATCCTTTGTACTCATAGGCACCAAACAAAACGATTATTCTGGAACAGTAAAAATTCATACTAATGATTTTGGATATTTATCAGCTGATTACCATCACTGATGGTGTAAAAAAGGCTACGAGCTTCAATTATAAAGACATAACGAGATCAAATCAGCGGTTAATGACAATCATTGATGTCTCCATTACCTAATTTCTGGTTGCTAAACGATCCCGCATCGCAATCACCAATCCAGGACTTTTCTACCAGTTGTAAATGTATTAAATAAAAGTTTAGCACAAATTCTAGTGATACAGAATCTTCAAAGACTAATATGAATAACATTAATACATTTTTTACTCGTATATTTTTGATTGTTTACATAATTTTAATGCTAGTATTTGGTTACTGGGCGTCTGTAAGTAATACTCCATATACTTTATTTCTTTCTTGACATTTGTAATTTTATATAGTCATATAAAATTCGGATTGTGAATTATGGCCAAGATTAACTTCATTGGCTACATCTATGCCATCACAATACGGAGAGAGTTTAAATATGCATCACCACACTTGATCGGATAGTTTCAGGTTTCCTAACGATGTTTTCTTTCATCGTTTGTCAGTGGTGATTAATACGCTAAGATAGTACCTACATACCTATAACTCGGAAAAAGTCCCATTGATACTCGCCGGATCACGAACTGGCAACCTCATGTAAATAACCCTGTGTCAAACAAGCGCCTTAATTGCCACGTCACAAATATTCATTTAAATTTCGTATTAAAATTATTAGTAGCTAATACATTTGGGAAATCACGTATTGCTTTGCAGGATGCCTACCGCCAAGAACGAGCTAAGCTGAAATATGCCAACCCGAAGTACATAAAGGATCCAGTTGTATTTACTGGCAGAAGAAACAGAAATTCTCCATACCAGACCAATATGAGTTGTACTATATTAGTACCTTTTGGAAATAATGTTAGCGTAAGTAAAGTTTTGTTTTATTATTGTATTCCTAAAATGTTTCAAAAAGTACGAAGACGTCGTGAAGGAACAAGTTCCGTATGAGAAGAAAGCTTATTGATCATTGATTCCCAAGATGGTACTTTATTTAACTCAATAGTTGGTTATTGGAGTGGCAGTACCTATAGTTGTCGATCAAAGATTCAGATCAGACATACCTACATCAACAATATTATTTTCTCTCGAACATTCTAGAAGTTCAAAGATCACTGAAATTCTGTAATGACCTTGGCTGTTCCGCATGAACCACTTCTAATTGCAGTTGATATTTGCAGCTGCAATTATATCAATTGAAAACATGTATTTTACAACTATACATTATATGTTGCTCGATTGACGGAGAATCAACCTTCAAAGGTCAGTCAGGCTAACAGTTATATTTTTAAAAGGTCAAAGTCATTAAATGAATTCTCTTGCCCTTAGCAAAGACACACTTCTGTTCCTTCTCCCGATCTAAGCCTAGGTACCTTATTGCGCTTGATCAACCGGTCAAACTGAAACTGGGCTGAATACAGTCTAAGTCTAAGCTTAAGTTTTAGTAAGCAAAATCAATATTTTATTGTTGCAGTTCGCGACAACATTTACAATGGTGTCAGGTGGAGACTTCAGACTCGTAACAAAAGCGTGTGACTGCAGTAAATCAAAATGGATACACGATTTCATGCAATCCTATACAAATTTGACACTTCGGAAGTGCCCGTATCCTCCTGTAAGTACAATATATTTATGATAGGAGATAATAAAAGATTTAACATAATACAGCCTCGTCTAGATATGAGCAAAACCAAAAAATTAGATTACATTCTTCTTTAACGACTACGAGTTGGAGTGTCAAATCCTTACTGACTAAACTTACCCGTTTTTTCTTCTTTTCCGGACAGTTGTCGCGATACCTGAATGCGTTAGCCCTACAACCCCGGCTAGCTGTTTATACTTGACGCATACGTAGCGCCCAAGTTTCGAATACCTTAATTGTTACGGTGCTTCTAGCTCGTTCTTCTCTATTATAGTCTCAAATTTGGAAAGCTTTTTATAGCTACTGATACATGTTTTTGTTTAATCCATCTGTTCTTTATATCAAAACCACTTTTCAAAGTCTTCCTTCAATTTCAAACTTACAAATTCTTCACAGGGAAGGTACGCGTATTACAACATAGAGCTACCACCCAAGAACATTCCCCTGCCAATAGTACAAGGTGACTACTGGATTAAATTCGAGTTCTTCGTGACTGACACAAAGGAGCCTATTGTTGAGGTCGACTCATTATTGCACTACGACCCTACAGCCAATGCTAAGAGATCGAAGGGAAGAAAGGGTAAACATTAAATTAGGTAATAAAATTATATATTTCCGTTATTTTTTAAATGTTGTTTTATTTATCGGTTACGATCCATTGAAAGTTATTTTATTCGATATGTTTTTTTACGTGTTAGGACGACGAACGAGCCGACAGGTTACCTGGTGGTAAGCAAAATTTACGACGCCCATGGAAGCAACACTAGAGGAGGTACAAGTACGTTGCCGGCCTTTTAGGGATTAGGGTTTCGGGGGAGGGACAGAAGGATTGGGCCTTCAGTAACCTCAGTCACACGGCGAAACACGACGGTGACGGTGGTTTTTTCTAGTCGGTTTTCTGTAAGGCCTAGTCTAGTCCATCCGACCCATTCGTGACGAAGCACGGCTCTCGCCCACCTATGTCTTGCAAGTTTAAAAAAACACTATTTAGCAATTTAACTTTAATTACAGGCTTAATTACAGCACCCAAATTAGTTAAACAGATTAGATATTTCCAGGAATGTTTCTGGTTCATAATTTTGAGGTTGAGGTCAAAACCTAATAATGAAAAACAGCGCACTTAGGTAATAACACTTCAGCTGCAATGGTGCTTTCGCATGCGACATAAACTAATAAATGTCAACATTTTTGCCATTTTTAGGGACATATACATATATACAGCAAACATAATTTATTGCAACCATGGAATCCATGCAATTAAACGAGGCAGACAGAATTATTACTATTAAAGTCAACCACAATAAACAAACGCAGTCTACCGAAACATTTTTAAAACTAGGTATTTCATTATATTTTAGGTTGTTTTTACAACGATAAATACTAACATGGTTCATGTACGAAGCTAATTGTAGGGATATTAAAACAGCATCAATTTCATTTTGAATTTATCAATATTATTTGGACAGTGAAATCGACAAGCATGAAGTGGCTTATTGTATTCGTTGTGATATTAGCTACTGCTGTGAAATATTCCGCTGTAAGTATGTTTAACTTATACTTTACTCAAAATATCTTCAAACGAGTACAGTCTTGTTATATGAACGTTATTGATGTACTTCTAGTCCGAAACGAAAGGAAAGAAGCAAATAATGCAAGAAGCAGCAAGATTTACTAAATGTAATGAAAAATATGTCTCAAATTGCTACGCTATAACTAGACGGGTCAAGAGAGGAGAGCCCTATAGAACGAACTGTTCAACAATCTCTAAACACGAATGGGGCAATAATGTAACAGTAAGTAGAATTTGTTATATTTTTTGTTCACTAAGAGCCCTTTGACAGATTGGATGTCACATAATTTCGTTTTATTTATTTATTTATTTATTTATTTAACACTTTATGTATAAGAAGGCATTATCTACCAGTCAATCTCAAGGGTGATGCAGAGAAGTGTTAATAATAGGTTTTAAACAAGCACACAATGATTAAAAAGTACAGGCATGTAAGGCAACATTTACATATAATACAAAACATAATATATGAATACAATAAATCATAACATTTTAGTAAGACGCAAAGCAATAACAAATACAGATTGTTTTATTCAGGTAATCGTATTGAGCCCCCAGAAAGAAAAACGCAAGAAAGTGGTCATCGTTTAGTCTTTTTCTGATGGTATAATATGGAGTTCCCCAGGGCACGAAATTGGGTCATGTGTTATTTTATGATGAGTTATCTACTTGTCTGAGTTATGTATCTGTATTTTAATGTTTTTCAGGTGAGAGGTGAAGTATTTATTGAAGGGGTGGCAATTGAAATATTTAGAGGAGAAATATGCGACATATCGAAAATTGATTGGGTGTACAATTTCAGCAGAACTTATTCTAACGCTGGTAGCTGTCCTTATAAGCCGGTGAGATTGATTTAACAGTATCATTCAAAAATGAGTTGTTAAAAAAGGCACATTTCCATAATCATTAAGTGATATGATTGCGAGTGCAAATGCAAATAATGAGATTGAAATCGTCTGAAATATACTTTTTCTTTAACATGTAATTTAATTTGATTTTAATTTTCAGGGAATTTATGAATTTTACAACATAGAACTTCCACCGAAGAATATGCCTCAGAACATTATGAGGTTACTGAAAGGACAGTTTTCCGCAATCGTATATTTTGTTCTTACAAAAACTGGTGAAATTATGTTAGAAATAACTGTGACATTACGGATTTAGATGAATACTATTTAATTTAAACAACCACAGCATTGTGTTTCGCCGAGTGAGTGAATAGGAAGAACGATTAGCCCTAAGGTAAAGCCTAATCATTTTTCCTCCATTCCTACCCAATCCCTAAATCTCCGAAACCCTAATTCCCAAAAGGTGAGCAATACACTAGTAACTCCTTGCGTGTTGCTGTGATTGCTTACAATCAGGTAATCCGTCTGCTTATTGACATCATATTAAATGTATTTTTGTGCATCATTTGTGCGGTTGTTTTTATTCACTCAATTCATTCAATGAGTATATTTCACACAGAATAACTGATCAAAACCTCTGGTAAAACTCAATTTATAAAGAGTAACCTTCAAACTGTCTTCAGCCTTAAAGTAGCCTTAAACTCTTATATCTATCAACAGCTAATACCCCAATATTAGCTGTTGATAGATATAAGAGTTTTTACAGTGGAGAGAAAAAGAGAGTTATACTAACTTTTTTTAAGATAGGAAAGTCATCAAATGACTTCTCCCACCCTGAGAGAGGGAGTATCAAACGCTTACTGACTTAAAACTACCCCGTGCCTTCTTCTGCTCCAAGCAGGTGGCATACCATTATTGAGCTTGACCAACAACCTCGACTGGATAGCCACGCCAGCTTCGACATACAGATCTTATAATAGGCATTACATGCTTAAAAGGAGGCTCCAATCACCTACTAATGTAAACTTTTTGGTACAGAAATAAAGATTTTGTATTTGTATTTGTATTTTTGTAGGTATATTAGAAATAAATAATACAAAAGTTTTAATAATTAAGCATTTATTTGTTACCACCATGTCGTATGAGGTCAGCAGCCCGTTCAGCCATCGCAACAATCACTGAGTTAGGATACAAGGAGATCGGAGATGGAAGGACACTGGCATCCACTACTCGTACACCTGATACTGATTTGACTCTGAAATAGGACGTTTAGCAAAATATTACAGTTATAAAGAATTTAATACTGACTGTTGGAACTCAAAACTTGAATGTCACTAAGGTAAAAGATTTATTTGGTGCTATGGATGCTTACCATTGCGAAGACTTCCGATGTCTCGATAAATTAACAATTTTTCCTTAGTAAAAATTTTTCGAGACATCGTAGCTACGTCTTTTGTAAGACAAAAGACTAAGAAAAAATTTGTAATTTGTAATAAACCTTTTTTTGAGGCGAGTAAATCTATCATATAAATGTCTTCTTTCGCCTAAGGTATGGCGATAGATTCCTTCTCCTGTAACCCCGGCTAACCTACGAATATAATCTTGAACTCTCGTAAAAAGTCCTTGAGAATTACTAACAGTGATGACTTTTCTTATATATAAAAATGGATCGCAAAATGTGTTGGTAAGCGCATAACTCAACAACGCCTGGACTAATTCTTTTTTGTTGTGTTTGTTATTGTCAGGAGAAGGCTCTTATCAAAGAAAATATAAGAAAAGAAGAGGGGAAGTTTAAGAAAAAGTGACCCGTGAAAGTGAAAAGCGAGATAGTGCGAAGCAGGGGTGGGCCGCTAGTACTTAATAAAATTGTCATATTTATTATTTAAGCCCGATAGCTACCCCATTGACTTTTGTAAAACACAATCTAGGAAACACATGGGACGATTTAAGGATTCCAACGATATGTATAATTCTGCCCAGGCGTTTGGAAGTTATAGTGGAATAAAAAAAATCATACATTTTGTTGGCAGTTCGTGTAATAATCTACATTAGGCAATGACCTAGGTTCCAACTCACCGTAATTCCTCATCAACGACCCTTCCACCAGCACAGGTTCCTCCAGCATGATGTCCTGTTACTGCCACCTCCCTGATGATGCACTCCAAGTAGGCGTCTGGGGGGCTGGGTATAGGTTTCGGTTTGGGCTTCTGTTCTTTGGGTTGTGACTGTTTTTTACCGCTAGAAGTTAAAGTTGCATTAATAATAAGTATAATACATACTTTGTCGTTGAACTTGTGGAACTTTTTTCAGTTCATTCAAATTAAATCATATCTTATTGTCGTGGTGGACCGGAGGTTAAGGAGCCCGCTTCTCATGCATGAAGGAGTGGGTTCGAAACCTGGCAAGTACCAATGTGACTTTCCGAGTTATATGTACTTTCTATAATTATTTAGACGCTACTGACATACATGGTGAAGGTAAACATCGTGAGGAAAACTGGACTTATAATTTCTTATTATAAGTTTGAAATCGCCAACCCGAATTGAGCAAGCGGGGTGATTAATGCTCTAACCTTCTCCGTGTGAGAAGAGGCCTTTGCTCAGCAGTGGGTACTTATAAGCTGATGATGATGATGAAATCATATCTTATTTCAAATAGGTATGTATGAATACACTATAGGTAGGCACTTTCGAACGTTAAACCAGGTAAAGAAATATCAAAAAGTTCATTTGTATGGGTGTCTTCTAATGAAACTATTTGCTCGTTCCAAAGTGTGGACTCCTATAAAGAAGAACGAGCAAGAAACACCATGGATACTCTTTTCGATCCGTTTGATAATTTTTGTCTTAAGTACATCATTTAGTAGCTTCTATTATGTGAGAACAGTGTAATACTGATATTTATCCAAAGAATCCGAAAAAGTAATTCCCGTGCGTAACAAGATTCCGTAATTCAAAACATTTACAACGTAACTCTAAAAAAAAAATCACAACACAAAGAAGTACACGAGTAAATATTGAAATTCTAACTCTAGATTAATCCTACTGACTTACAATTTCCTCCTCCTCACTACAGGTCCTCTCTGATCCTCTTTGCTATACCTCCACAAAGACAAACATCTCTCAGGTCGGGGCCAGTGTATTCTTGCTCCAATGTCTTGGAATGGTTTGGTAGATACTAATTCTTCGGCTCTTCGTATTGCTGGAAGGATAAAGTCAGAATATTATTTACCCAATTTGTGTCTGGTATTTCCCTAGTCCATTTTCCAATACCTATACCAAAAAGGAAACAATCAAGGATTGCAGGCAGAATAACGTATTATGGCCCATTAAGGAGCACAAGAAAGACCGAGAAGAACCAGGTGACTCTTAGCTTTTGATTGCCGACAGAAAATTGTTGAATGCAAATCCTCCGCTAATGGAGGTCACCGGTGACCCCATGGCGTTTAACGTGTTAATGAAAAAGAGTCGCATCCTTAGACCCAAGGCTTCATCTAGCTGTGCAGTTTTATGGCCTTTCATTGTTTCATTTTTTCAAGGCGCGAGAAGACATTGAATAATTTTTTCCATAAAAAAGCAACTACATATGTGAACAACCAAATATTTTAACAAGGCTTATATTACACAACAAATTTTAACCAAAAGATCCTCGAAACATCAATAGAAACTTGCCTTTGATCATACACTTGACATCGTAATACTGTTCCAAGTAGTTAGGGTCTACCACAGGAGGCATGGCGGTGGTGGAGTCAGCGAGGGTAATGGTGCCTCTACTCCTCGGCTGCACACAGGTCGACAGGAACATGAAGCCCTCCTTATTGGTGTTGTTGTAGAAAGGGAAGGTATCGCGGAATACCTGGAAGTCATTGAACTATGATTGGAGGATTTCTAATCAGGCCACTTCGACTACTATTAGGACTCACTGGACTATTATATATAGTTATACTTATGTATAGTTAGATACTTGATAGTCCAGTGAGTTGTTAGCCGAAAACTTATCAAAACACCAAATCTCCCCAAACCCGAAATCACCGAAACCCTTATTCTCCAAAACGCCGGCAACTCATTTGTTACTCCTCTGGTGTTGTGGGTGTTCATAGGCGGTGCCGATTGCTTACCATCCGGAAATCCGTAAGATCGTTTGACATCCAATCAAATAAAAAACCAAAATCTATGTCGAGGGAAATTGTCCACTTAAGGAACGACACATTTTGGTACAACCTAGTCAATTACGACATCCATCTAACGATAATGGTTTTTAACTCACCTGAGGCTTGTAGTTAGATAAATCTCTCAGCAGTCTCTCGCTAGCTGTGCCCATTGAGAAGAGCATTACTGCGGACGTAGTCTGGTATTCAACTCCACTTAGGGGAGGAAATGATAAGGGGCCTGAAATGACATTTAGGTATTCTCATTTGAAGGAATAAGGTAGGTATTTATTTATTTATTAAGAATATTTACATATACAACATTACAGCTTACGCCATTAAGTTGTATTGTTAATTTTAGCGTGATTGATGGTTATTAAAAATAGTGATAGCTGCCCATTGAAACGAACTAACTACCATTAATATTATTATTTTAAAATTAGTTTGATAGCTTTTATCAAAATGCTTTTCACAGGTTTCATTTCATACCTATATTTATTTATTATTTATGCACAACACACCTACATTAAATAAACGAATAAAATGCAAAGGTACATATAACATGTAGATACTGCATATTCCAGATTCAAATCTCTTCCAGCAGTCTTTCGATAGGAAAGATGTAAGCGAGAGACAAGACATAATGTGTAATTAATATAGGTAAAAAATAACCGAAGCCTATTTTTTTTAAATAATCCTATAACTACATACACAAAACTAAAATAATGATAATTTAAAACTCTTTTGTTAAATAAGAGTAAAACTAACGTTGAATAATTGAAAAATTGCTGAGAGTAAATCAGTCTTAAACTTTCCAAGATAAGGTCTCTTACCCGCATTCTTCCAGAAGTATTCGAAAGCAGCTGTCAACGTGAACACTTTGGACAAAGTGACGCTGATTGGTCTCTGTATGCTCACGTATATCGGGATGTTCATGTGGTCGTGGAAGTTCTTACCCACCTCCTGGTTTGGAGATACCAGCTTTATTTTTAGCCTGGAAAACATAGCCATCATCATCATCGTCATCAGCCTGTAAGTGCCCACTGCTAAGCAAAGACTTACGCTGACTCAAGGCGGATCCGTGTCCTTAAACTTATAACCAGATATCCAAGTTCCCATCAAGTTCAGGTTTCACCACTATTTTAATTCCTTCACCATATATCAGTGGTGTAATGAGAAAGCTACATAGTTACCAGGTTTCCGCTGATGAAAAGCGGGCTCTCTGGCCACAATGACGTCCAGATAAAGATAAGTAGTTGTCGTCACGCCAGGTTCGTCGACGGGGTCACCAGAAGTCTAACTTGCTGTTATACCTATTACTATTAATAAATATTTTTATATAATCTACCTTTGCAGCATCTCTGGCGGTCCAATACCAGACAACATTAACAGTTGTGGAGACTTTATAGCGCCGGCCGCCACTATGATCTCTTTATTCACGAATATATTGTCCAGCTCACGGTGGTTTTGGAGTATGTATAGAGATGATGCTGTCATGTTGATAAAACGAATCTGAAAGAGATAATATTAAATTGGCAGCTAACTTAAGGTTATAAGCTGATGAATCTTAAATGGATTTGTACAGCTGTCTCTAGAGCTGGTCTATCGAGAAGACCCAGTGTCACCTTACAAGTACAAATGTTATGCTCTAAAAGCAAGGCACCAACGGTTGAAAATTAGTTGGAAATGTGGATTGATGTCATAATAATGAAAATATCTAGGTACAAATGGCACAAATTGATCGACATTTTGAACTTACAGACACAGCCTGTGTTTTCAATAATACGTGAAGATTCTTTCTTCCCAAAGCTGGCTTCAGATAAGCGTTCAACGTGGAGTAACGAGCGCCATCTTTGATGGTCGCTGTAGGTCTTCTGAAGATGTTCTTTTTTGAGTGCGTGGAGGCCAGTCTGAAGGCGTTCATCAGCTCGTTGTCATCGTCTAATAGCTTTAATTTCATTGGTACCTGAGGAAATATACCTATGTATGTAGAAGGTTTAGTTTTCCTGTGTAAGTTAAACGGACAAAAAATTCAGCATTCATTATAGCTAATCTAACGCATAATCAAGCTAGATTATGAACTAAATCGAGTTTGAATGCAGTGACAATCGCTTTGGCTTTTCTTTGTGAGGGGCAAAACATCAAATGTCAGACTCTTACTGACTAACCTCCCCCCCCCCCCTTCATTCTTCTGCTCTGGGCCGAGGCCGCGGTGACTCATTGCGCTTACCCCGCAACCCCGGCTTCGGCTTGGAAAGCCATTATCGCATTTCATGATTTTACGAATGGCGACGAATCACGTCAATTATCTATGTAGAAACGGTATTGCATAGCGTCCGCTTGCTCTTGAAAAAGTCGTCTTGTGACTTGAAACTAGTATCTACGACGTATCTCAGTTGACAGTGTATAGTATAATAGTAATGCAGTTCCATAACTTTCTTACCTTAGCAGCAGGACAGTCCCCGTCCGCGGCACAATGTCCAGAATCAAACTCACTCCTCACGGTACCAAAAGCTTTGATAAAATACGGTTTCAAATCTTTAAAGGTCCATCCTTGGAAGCCGAGTTGTGACCATCTATCATAGTCTCCAGGAAGGCCAAAACCATGAAGTAGGAAGTTGATCTGACCTGATCCACCGAGGCCTTTACCCCGTGGAATGAATTGTGACTAGAAAAGGAAATAAGTAGGTATAATTTGTATTGGAAACAATAAAGTTGAATTTAGGTGATTTTTTTATGACATGGGTCGGCAAACGAGCACAAGCATTAGCTTGTGACGTGACCATACTTATACCATACTTACCATCAGGTAATCCTGATGGTAAGCAATCGGCGTCGCCCATGGACACCCGCAGCAAAGAAGGAGTTACGAGTGTGTTGCCGACCTTTTAAGGATTGGGATTTTGGGGATTTAGGGATTGGGGTAGGGGAAGGATTGGGCCTCCGGTAACCTCACTCACACGGCGAAACACAACGTTGTGATTGTTTCACGCCGGTTTTCTGTGAGGCCGTGGTATCACTCCGGTCGAGCCGACCCATTCGTGCCGAAGCATGGCTCTCCCACACTTAAAATGGATTACCTGATGGTAAGCAATCAGTGCCGCGGAGTGCAAAGGAGTTACTACAAGTGCGTTGCCGGCCTCTTGTAGGTTACGTATTAGGGATTTGAGGATTAAGGATGGAGGGAGAGGGGAGGGGAATTAATGGAGCCTCTGGTAATTCTCACAAACACGGCGAAACACAACGTTGCTTTACGACGAAGCATGGCTCTCCCACACATAAATTAGTGTTTGGTTCGTTTACAAGCACACCCGACTGCATCAACCAGGTTTAGAAACCTATTGATAATTACAAAACAATATGTCAAGTTTTACTAAGTTCTTTTATAAACTAGCCTCACCATTCTCTCAACTGTTAAAATATCAACCTAGGCCTATCTACCTATCTAGTTCGGTAGGTAAGTACCTACATTTTTGCCAAATTACCTGACCCCAAAGTCCGAAAGAGGAGTACTTCTGTGCCCTTGTCCTGACAGACCAGTCGTCAGGCCCTTGTTGTGCCGCTGTAGGAGTCAATGGGATTTTGGTGAAGTAGCCCATGTGGTCCCCTGCTTCTACCAGCAGCACGCTGGTGTTTAGGTCCTCCGTGAGACGAGATGCGAGCACGCAACCCGCTGTACCAGCTCCAACTGGCAAAATTATTTCGCAGAAGATCGAAAATGTTTGTTGGTTTAGGTTGAAAATAGCACGAAAATATTGTGTTTGTGGGGCCTTAACAATTATCCGACTGCTATATTTAAATCACGTTTAATAATATTTAGTTTATTCCGATTAGGCGTCGGAAGTGTGATTAAATAAGATACTCACCGATAATGTAATCATATCTTTTCTGCGGCTTAATAATAATACTGGTATACACATTCACATATTTTTGATACACCAAATATGATACACAAGCCAGTAAAAGTCCAAATAAATAGGAATACAAAGCCATTGTTAAAAATTATAACAGTCCTTTTAAAAATATCATAGCAATAATTTGCATTAAAACATTTTACACTTCAAACACTTATAGGCGTCATAATTCTTTTAAGCACTAATATTAAACAATAGAAAATCCGGTAGGAATTGCCGGGATTTCAAAGTGGGAAGTCTGATAGTTCCGTAGTTTGATTTTTGTAATGTTATTTAATTCTTACGTTGCCTGGTTTAATTGAATTAGGCAGGGGTTGTCAACCTAAGCACAACCACAAACATAGGTACCTTTATTATTGTGTTTGTTTGAAACATATTTATAGCACGATGAAAACGTGGATTGAAACCTATCGATAATTTGTCAAAACTATAATATTTACCTCTAACCTATAATATGTCCAAAGGCTTTTGGGTTCCCTACCACAGTAAAACAGAGCAAGGTAAAATGTCCATTTGAATATAATGTATACTAATATTATAAAGAGTCGGGCAAAAAATCAAAGGAACAAATGGTGGACACATTTTTAGAAAGTGAATAAAATAAATAAATGGAGCACTTTGCACCAAATGTTGGGAGTACCTGCCCACTAAGAGGATTAGTCTACGATACCCACAATACGTCGAGAAATCGATACATCTTTTATGTTACGACATCAACTTGTCATGTTAATGACCGCTGTGCCGCAGTTCATAATGTATTTTTATAATATAGGTCATCAAATCTAGTAGTATCTAACTACTACTTATTCCAAACGATACATTATCATGAAACTATTTTGTAGTAGGTATATTTATGTTTATTCTTACTCTATGGCACATAAGAGTAAGCTTACAAAGGCATCAAATCGTCTATTTCTGTAGATACAGAGCCAACGGATAAGTGTTTGGAGCAAATATAATAGAGAGCTAAAACTATGCCGATAATACTTTTTTGTTGTGATTGCCAAGGGGTTTATGAAACTTTTAGAAAAATACACAGGAACGTGGGCATACTATGAGCCTAGTCGTTAGGAGGTAAGGATAATCTAAGCGTAGCAGGGACAGGCTTCTAGTTGAATTTGAAAAACATTGATAATAACTTAAAACTTAGTTTATTTACAATGTAATAACCATGTGATTATTACCCTTCTTACTCAGTTATCTTTCAACAGGTTACAAAGTAGAAAGAAACTTATAAAGTAACAAAATAAGAAAAAATGCCAAGTACTATAAGAGGCAACTCAATTATAATTAACAGTAAAAAAAATCGAAGGGCCGTGGGTGTAGGTCTACGCACAAGAAAATTAAACCTAAGTAATTAAAACTAAAATACTTATTCAACTGACTAAGAGGGCCGTAAGACTTACTAATTACCTGTAATATACAATGATGGATTAACAAACCAATGAATGAATTGAAATATGATAAATGCTGCAGTACTAGTATAATTTGGGAGTCTTACTTCTAGGCTTCTTCTTATAAGGAATAAAAAAAATGTTAACATTTTAATGTTATCGTTTATGTAAATCATATTCATAAATGGAAAAATTTCAAAACCGTTTTATAATAAAACCACTGCAGAACTTGTAGTTGTAAATCAGATTTGTAAATTTTTATTTAACAAACTGATCCTTACAATTGTCCCTTTTTTTAACAAATAAATACAACTTACAAAATGAATTACAAATAATTTTAAAATTTGCTGCAGTACTATCAAGAGTCAGTCAAATAAGTATAATGTTGTTTACAATTATAATTCTATATCTCCACCATCTTCTACCATTTCTCCTGTAGCGGGTACCATGACAGGTGCCTCAATGACTTGTTTGCGGCCCTTGGCGTCAACAACTTCAATGGTTTCAGGTTCAACATCCATCTCTGTTTCTTCTTCAAGTTGTCTCTGTTTGAGGCCAGCTGCTGGTGATCTGAAATAATTGAGAAACATGTTAAGTTAGTAATCTTAAAGTGCCAATGGAGATCAATGAGGGTTTTTCTTAAAGTATCTATCATTAGATACCTGAATTACGGGCAGATTTAGAGATTTATTTATAAAGACAAACCCTATGGCACCTTTTTCACACAAATGAATCGTTTTTTATGTTCATTTTTGACAAAAGTACTAAATTAACATCATTGGGAATAACAACTTACTAATAACATCCATCAATGTAACAAACTTTCTTTGAATTAACTGAGAAAAGCTGTACTAGTTTGAAGTCACTGAGCTCTTAATAAATAGATAATTTGAATTTCATATATAAGTTTAAGAGATTTGTCAGAAAGATATAGGTCAGAAATATTTGATTTGGATGATGTTGCATTTTAGCTATTATAGAGAAACATTATCATAATTTGGCTTTGGCTAAATAAATTAAATCCGCCCCTAAGGCTACCCACTGACCATATTATGTAGTATTTAGAATAACTAGGTGAAAATTGGTGTGAAATATTTGTAAACAAATACAATTTTGCCATCTCTTCAATAAATAGGATAAAAAAAGCATACAAACAATACTGTTCTAGGACAGTGAGTTCTTGTGATAGAAAATAAATGAGACATAGTATAGTAGTACAATTACACAACTCATATAAATATTTTGAAACATGTTGCCAAAACAATATGTTTACCTGATGCTATATTGAGAAAATTACTTTAATTCTTTATTCAGATTTAAATTCTTTGAAATGTATATTTAAGAATGCATAGAAGTATTTAAAATTATAAATGAAGCTATCTATTATACATTACAGTTTATGGAAACTTGCAATTTCTATTACTATAACACATTAAATTATTGTAAAAAACTGAAGGCATCAACTCCAAATACTTTACAGAGCACTTTCACAATTAATATATAATAATTTGTAAAACTTACTTGATGAGTGAGATATCCCGTTGAACTTCTCGAACATCCCTTTGCCATTCCACTTCCCTGCCCTTCCTTAGCCTCTGCATAATATGGTTGTTACTTCTTCTTTGCCTAATCTCTTCAACCTTCTTCATGGCTTCGATAGTCTTAGCCCACAATTCCCTTCTGTATTTGACAGGGGTGTTTCTACGTTTCTCAAATTCGAAAGACGGGTCGATAGCCAAGTCCTTGCCAGCTGTCTTACGGTAGGCTTTAGTCCATTTAGTTTTACGTGGGTTCTTCTTCTTTTTGAATGCAGCATGGCATTTTGATCGGCAGAATCTGAAAATCTAAACATGAATAGGTTAGTGGCGCAATTTGTGAAATTATATGAGATGTTTATTAGTATTGAGTATTTCTTTAGCTTACCTTGCAATCATTTCTGACGAATTGAATTCCGTGTCCAGGATATATCCTGGACGAACAAAAATAACATGTTTCTATACGCATTTTGGCACGTGCTGCTGTATTTGATTGCACGCCAAGAAAAGGACGACAGCGATGGCGAACGTCACAATAGTGTCATTATTTGACACTGACAGTAGACACAAGTTTTTTTTTTTTGGAGTTTATGGCCTGGATACAAGTCCTTTAAGCAAACACATAAGAAAGTGTTACTGAGGGTGTTGCTAGTATTTAAGATGGATATTTTATTGCTAGCTGATTTGATTAATAATTTTTTGAAGCAAATCAAGTACATAATAATATTATTTAGTTTTCTATAAGCATAATTTAATTTAATTATAGCATTCAATAGTGCTTTAAACAGAAATAATAGTCTGATACTTTCGATACTAGATGTCGCTTTACGGCTAGTAAAGTTACATTCACTACTAGCCGCTAGATGCCACTGCACGACACATTCAATTTAATTAACTGATAGATATAAACTTATTTCTTTTCGACGCTAGATGTCATTCGACAATGAATTTTTAGTTTACTATAATTCTAAAATTATTTATAAAATCTTCCTATTTATCCATATCTTTTTAGTGTTAAACTAAGACAGATTACCTACGTTTTATTTTTAACTGAAATACCTTCCCATAAATCGATATCGGGTCCCCTGGGATAAGTAGGTATTTTTTTTTTTTTAGCGTGAGACTACTTATTCACATATTTACCGACTTCAAAAAAAGGAGGAGGTATTATGTTCGGCTGATTGTTTTTATTTCACTATCTTATTATGAAAATACCTAATGTAAAAAAAATGACAACCATGATTGAGTCACCGTGCAAATACCAATAGGTTTCCTGCGATGTATGACCTGTTGTACAATCCAGACTTTATTAAAACAGTTTGTGATGCTAATGATGGCCGCCGGTGGTCCCTGCATGCAGGCCACGTCTCGTAATGAGATGAGCGTCGTGCACAGATTCACCATCGCCTCATTACCATCCCGAGAACATCATTACCAAATCATCATTCCCAATTTACACACGATCAGAATTTTTATAACGCGAATTAGTTTAGGTAAATTCTAATGTGCCATTATGTTTTATGTGTATTTAATTTACTTTTTATTGGTTACCTACGTGAGTACTGTGTGTTAAATTGAGTCATCCAAGAAGGATATTCTGGGTGGTACCATGTCTACCTAATGTTGTCGTAAATTTGAAAAGTACCTACGTGTTTGTTAACAACAAACAATAATTGCGTATTTTAAATGTTTTATGGACGTGCCAAAATTCTTTGTTTGGATCGATTTGTTTGGATTAAATTAGGTATCTATAAATTAATATTATATATTCGTTTTTCATGTTTCCATACAATAGTTTTACCATTTTACATACACATTATACCCAGACCCGGAACAATAATTTGTGGATCACACAAAGAGTTGTCCCGTGGTGGAATAGGTAGAACAGAATAGAACACGCGCGGAAGCCCAGTCACCGCGCCAACCGCAGTCAAAAGTTGTACCTAATGTTTTTAAGTGCGGGAGAGCCATGCTTTGGCACGACCTCACAGAAAACCGGCATGAAACAACCAAAACGTTGTGTTTCGCCTTGTGAATGAAGTTGCTGGAGACCTAATCCTTCCCCCTTCTATTTCTCCCTAGGTCCTAAATCTCCGAAACCCTATCAACCAAAAAGCTACGATCGTGTAACACCTCTGGTGTTCTGGTGGCCATTGGTGGAGCCGATTGCTTACCATTAGGTAATTAGTTTGTCGACCTATCACATTAAAAACATAATTCAATACAAATATAAAAAAACACATATTATTGCGTTTATATATGTAGGTAAGTCTACAACAACAATTTGTTGTAAATAAGTAAGACAGTTTTTTAAATGGTTTAGTTAAGTAATCACTGGAAATTCCTTAAAGGGAGTCGTTCATTGATGTTGTCTTGCCCCGAAGGCAGGCGCGGTCGGAGGGACATATTTCAAAGGCAGGAATGCGGGAGGCCATTCATCCAATTCCCACAAGTGCAGCTAAAAGTTACAGCTTCATTACAATTCGGTGCACATCGCATGCAAACGCAACGAACGTGCGATTTTTTCACCAACACTTGTTCGTGCCCGTCGCGCGGTAGGGTCGCTATGATTCTGTGTGGGATACGTTTTTTTTATACAGTATTTTAAATTATATATTTTAATTAGTTTTTATTGTAATAGCTTCTTTTGTAAAACATCAAATGACTTTTCCCGCCCAGGATAAGGCTTGAGAAAGTGTCAGACTCTAACTGACTAAAAACCCTCCCGTTCCTTCTCCTGCCGTCTGTAGGCCGACGCCGCAGTGCTTTATTGCGCTTGTCCAGCAATCCCGGCTGAATAACCAGCCCTATGGGGCCCCGTCTGTGGTGGTCTTTTGGCTCTTTGAGGCGCGCGTGGAACGCTACGCTACCCGTACGCTTGGGTCTGGTTTTGGTCGCGCGGTGAGCTACCCTTACTCGCCGTCCGCAGACCCGCGCTTACGGTGGTCGAGATCATCTCTCGTTATTGTAATGGCTGAGTGCAAATTATATTAATCACGAGACTCAACAAATTTAAGTTTCTAGCTAGATAGAGTAAATCGATCATTTAAGCAATAAATTACATAAATCTTTTGAATTTAACTTTCTCCCTCACCCAGATATTGAATTTATGTGTTCATATTTTATTATTTGGTCTTTATACCGTCAAAACTGACAACCTCCTAGGTTTAACTAGACATTAGACAAAGCAAGTATACCTACTGGCGATTTTATATTACCGAGTTTGACTGGCTTCACTTAAAGGTAATAAAGTTTACCTGGATGTAATTGCTCGGGAGTGTAAAAGTTCTTATAGCTAGTATTTTCCCAGTGTATGTTAGATAGACGATATTATTTTGTACATACAAAACGTAACAATATTCTGTACAGTTAGGTATCTTTAAAGACTATATTTACGTGCACGTGTTTTGTCGTTGAACTGCCTTGTAGTGGGAGACTGTGCAACGTGATGTTGACTAAGCTTAGTACTGGTTTGTTAGTAAGTATAGTAGTATTAAAGTTTCATACTTTAGATGACTTTTTTAGAGGGTCATAATCATTAATGATTTTCCTCGTCGTGGGTATGGCGAGAGAGTGTCAGACTCCTTTTTTGTCAGGGAAAAATCATCAAATGACTTCTCCCGTCCAGGGTAAGGCGAGAAAGTCAGACTCTTACTGACTAAAAATCCCCCCGTTCTTTCTCCTGCTCTGGGTCGAGGCCGCGGAGACTCATTGCGCTTAACCCGCAACCCTGGCTGAACGTCAGCCCTATAGGGCCCCGTCTGTGCCTGTTGGTTCTATAAGGTGCCACGGAGCGTTCCGCGCGTACGCTCGGGTCTGGTTCTGGTCGGGCGGCAAGCTACCAATTACTCGCCGTGCGCAGACCCGCGCTTACGGTGGCCGAGATAATCTCTCGGAGTGTCAGACTCTTACTGACTAGAAACCATCCCGTTTCTTCTCTTGCTCTGCAAGAGCAATATGTGTAATAATGGAGGCATTACAATATTGCGCTTTTTAGATGGCTACGCTGACATTTTATTAATGTCTTTTGAAGAATACGTTTTTCTAAGTAATATAACTTATAGCAATCAATTCGTTTCGTGGCAGAATATGCGATAAAGCATTTTTAGATATCTAGATATTAGTCGTAATAAGATTTGTGAAGAAGTGTGGGAGAGTCATGCTACACCACAAAGGGGCCGGTTCGTCCAGAGTTATGCCGCCACCTCAAAGAAACCCAATCTAATCATTCAGTCAAAGAGATTTTATGATTTGGGATTTAGCATCAATCACGGAATCTTCTCTAATACTTCTAATCTCCTTCATATATTAAAGACCCCAAAAGACTGGTTAATCACTCATTAGTCTTCTAGTACCACTCATTTGTCGGTGTCTATAGGCAGTGCTAATTTATTACCGCCAGGTGATCAACCAGGTCGTTTGCCGCCCTATCACATAAAAATAAAATGGTAACTCTTGATCCTTATCATATTACTAGCTATTCTCGCGCGGTTTCACCCGCTGTTCGGCTCCAGTAGATCATAGCGTGATGTTTTATAGCCTATAGTACTCAGGAACATTGTAGCTATCTATCAGTGAAAGAATTTTAGGAATCCGACCAGCAGTTGCAAAGATTACTCCCTACATACAAACTTACAAATTTTACCTCTTTATAATATTTATCATTATCATATAATTATAGTATTTTGACCGACCCAGAATAAAATAAAATATGAAAAGTCTCCATTAAGTTATGGTCACACGAAGTGTATGTAAAAATCTGTCCGTCTGTGTGTCGGTGGTGATAAACGAGGTGACACGGAGAAACCGTCACGAGTCGCCTCATGATTACAAGTATTTCTCATTTATAATGAGAATCGCGTTCCGAGTGCGACGCATTTTGTCTCTTTTTCGATACGTAAATTGGTTCTTTAATGTATTGAAATACTATTTTTTTTTATTTCAGCAACTTTATATTCGTTTTCTATGTAAGTACACAAAGTACCTAGTTAATTTATAGAATACTCGTTTAAAATTACAGATAGGCCGGTAAAAATAATCCTGCAGTACTTAATTGCAATTGTAAGAAGTGACTTAAAAAGTAATAGTCCGGTGAAAACACTTTTCTTATAGCATACTTTACCTACACATTTATATCTCTAACTAAAACTCTCATTGCACTTTCATCAACACCAAAAATAAAGTAAAACAAAACAATAGCATTGAAGTATCAAAGCAACGATAGTAAATAAATTATAAATGTAACGTGGTGTCTACAGACAACGCCACCTGCTGGCGACGTAAGACAACTATGTACGTCCGTGTCGTGTGATCGTGTCGTGGCGTGTATATCACACGACAAATGCGACAAGAACATGACGTTACATGTTCGTCGACAGCTTTTGAGGGTTATGTATAAACTGTAACTCTGTGTAATGTCCTTTGGATTACCATCTATAGGTACTTACCTAATGTTGAATATAGTTGAATCAATTTAGTATAATTGTTCAATGAACCAACGCAGATAGCTGAAGCATATCTGAAAAAAGTGCCCACTGATGAGCAAAGGCTTTATT